CAGGTAGAAGCTGCAAAATACATCCAGCCTTAGAAATAACTCAGCATCATTTTCACTGGAATCTTTTTTTTTTTTTTTCGGGGGGGGGGGTCAAAGTGAGTCATAGGGCCTGCCCAGATTTAAAAGAAGGATGACATGGGCTGGGGTTGTTGCTCAGTGGTAAGGTACTTGCCTAGCATGTGTGAGGCACTGGGTTTGATTCTTGGCACCACATATAAATAAATAAAATAAAGGTCCAAGGATGATATATATATATATATATATATACACACATACATACACACACACATACATATATATTTTGACATAAGAGATAAGAGGTTATGAATATTGGGATGGACCATTCATTGGAAGGCCATCTGTGAAAACTGCTACCACACAATTTATATAGATTTATGTGTACAAGAGTTTAAAAGTCATTAAAAAAAACCAAATACATGGAGACAAAATTTATCATCCTAAAATGGAGAGAAAAGTGCAATGAAATTGTACTTTGTTTTTTCAACATCTTATGATACTTTTTAAATACATTTCTGCTTGAAGAGACAAAAAGACAAAACAAATGGCATGAGATCTGAGGTGGCTGAAGGGATGGTTGAAGTATGACAACTACAAGTTGAGAAGGCAAAAGAAATTCTCTAAAACTATAAAGACATAATGAGACACTTTTCAAATGATATGGCATCTTTAGAGATTTTTGGCAAACCATGATAACCATTTTGTCATGTAACAAGGAACACGATGACTTCTGAGCAGAAAAGCAAAGGAGGTAATAAGAGACAGTCTTGTAGTTGAAAACCAGTCATTTCTGAATTATTATTTTTTAGTCACAGACCCCTTTGTGCAAGTGAAAAAATTATAAACTTCTTTCCAGAAAATCTGAATATTTTCATCTCTGTGTCCCTTCCTTCTTTCAATCGTTCTTTCTTTCTTTCTTTTTCCTTCTTTCTATGATATTTATAGGGAACTGATTCTGTTTAGACACTAGTTAGGACCAAGGAATCAAATATAGCAGAAGACAGTCAAGTTCCCCAGTCTCCTGGCATGTACAGTTTTAAGACAAGGAGACAGACAAAATTGAGAACACCACTAAATAAGACAATCTCAGATTAATATAAGTGAACTATGTATAAAAAATCTTGCATGTGATTTTATAAAGTTCACCATCCTTTTGTGGATTCTTCTTTGCTCTCCAATCAACAATTTCACTTTTAAACTGAAGGATAACTTTTTTAAAAAATATGAGCTGTGTGGATGTAGTTGTTGATTGCCCATTGATTTTTTACTTACATTGAGTGCACAGATGTTGACTCATCTGTTTTTATTTTCACCCATGAAGAATAATTATATGCACTGTTATTGGAACTGACTTTTCCAATCAATATAAGAATATTGGCTTTTTATAAAAATTTAAAAATTAAAGTGGCTGGTGAGTATAAATATTTGCATTGTAAGGCTTTTCCACAGCCTTCTTCCAAACCCCACCCCCACTTAGGGAACTAGCTGCTTACCCTCTCAAAAAAATTAAATGGCTCATATTGCCATGGATTCACACTGCAAAGCTTCAATTTACAAGAGACTCGATGACCCTTTCATCCATATTTTGAAGATGAGAGTGGAGGATGGATAATTTGCTTTGAAAGTTTTATTCCCTCTATGTTCTATGTTTTTATGTTTTCACCACAAACTGGCCTTAGTTATTGTGGTATCTTGTAGGGGATTTAAATATATACTTTTATCTTTGGCAACATTGTAAGTATTGTTAGCATAACATATAACTTTTTCAAAAGTGAATGAAATGAAAATATCAATTTCTCTTACTCTATTATAAGGGAGATAATTGTATTTTTTTTAAAAGAGAATTTTTTTAATATTTATTTTTTAGTTTTCAGCGGACACAACATCTTTGTATGTGGTGCTGAGGATCAAACCCGGGCCGCATGCATGCCAGGCGAGTGTGCTACCGCTTGAGTCACATCCCCAGCCCAAGGGGGGTAATTCTAAAAAGCTGGTAATTATAAAAAATTTTAATTAGAAACACAAACTGTTAAATTATATCTTTTTTTGGTATTTTATTGATATCAAGTTTTTACCTTTAGCTGAAAGGCATTTCAGTATATATATATATTCTTTATTTTTGTTTTTTGAGGTTTTTTTTTTTTTTTAAATTGAACCCAGGCATTCTACCACTGAACTATATCCCCAGCCCTTTTTTTTTTAACTTTTATTTTATATTTTCTCACTAAATTGCTGATGCTGGTCTCAAACTTGTGATCCTCCTGCCTCAGCCTCCCAAGTCATGTGGATTATAGGCATATGTCACTTATGCACACTCAGCTGCATTTTAGTATATAGTATGTTATTTTGGATTCAATATAATCTTGAAGTGAATGTACTGTAATTATTTAGAGTAAGGGTTGACAAACTCCTACTGTAAGGCTCAAGTCTACTTATTTTTGTCAATTTTCAGTGAAATCCAGTTACCATTACTTTGTACATATACTCTGGATGCTTTTATACCTACTATCATTACTCTTTTAGAAAATTTTGTAAAATGGTTCTGTCTTTATTTCCTTTATAATTATTGACATAAATTCTGTATTCCACAGATATTAAATAGGCATATTGCCAAGGTTAAGCACATGACCTAGGCATACTATATGTCTACCAAGTGTTAAGCGCTACACTAGGGATACAGTAGTAAAGAGGAGACAAAAATTCACACTTGGGCTGGGGTTGTGACTCAGTGGTAGAGCACTTGCCTAGCATGTATGAGGCACTGGGTTTGATCCTCAGTACTACATAAAAATAAAATAAAGGTATTGTATCTACCTACAACTAAACAAATATTTTAAAAGATTCATGCTTATTGTTCAATGATACTTCCAAGACACTCAATAATAAAAATTTTGGCAAACACTTGGAGGTTTACTGAAGAACAGAACAGATTTTATATTGAGGTGACTGGGTATTGACACTGACTAGGGAAAAAATGTGGGAATTCTTGAACTGCAATAATACTATACAATCAGAGAGCTACAATAAAATTGAGCCAATGGTGCTCATAATTAAGTGTAATATAGAGTGTTTTTAGAATTACTCATATAATTTATGGAAAAGCACCTGAAATTTCTAGTTCATTTTGCCAATAAGCCTGTGACAAGGGTTGTCTGTCCAAAATCCCATAAACTAGTGACTTGGAGTTCTTGTGTTTGCAATGATGTCCTTTGAGTGACATCTCATGAGCATCTCTGTGGTTTACAAGGTGTCCTTACATGATGGGAGCTCAAACAGCAATGTAATTCAATAAACATTTACTGAGGGCCTTCCTGTGCATAGCAATCTATTGGGTGCAGCATAGGCCACAAAGCTCTATAAGTAGAAATTGATACTATCTTAACCTGGGTGACTACTAACCTGAGAATTCCATAACTTTTGGAGAGGATTTGGGATTGAAAAAAACCTTGCATGCCCTTTCAACTTCTGTCCTGCTTTTTGCCAACTCATATTGGCAAAATTAACTGTGCCATTAGTGAAAGATGGGACAAAGAACATTTAGAATCATAAGACAAAAACAAAAACATAATAATAAAAAAAAAACAATCTTCACAAACCTGGTTTAAGCGAGTGAAGGAAGATCCAAAGGGAAGAATACACTTTTATTTTCTTACAAAGTGTTTAAGTTGGGGATGTAGCTCAGTGGAAGAGTGTATGCTTTTCAAGTTCAAGGCCTTGGGTTCATTTCCCAGCACTGCACACACAAGCATATTTTATAAAGTGTTTAGACTATAGCATCAGAGAGAGAGAGAGAGAGAGAGA